TTCCCGGGGGCGCCCGCCCCTCAGGCCGGAGGGCACCAACCATACTCAAGCAGTGGCGAAGCGTCCTGGCTCGCCCATAGCCCTACCACACAATGTCCTAAGAACCTTTCGGTGGCTTCTACGACATGTTCTTAGAGCATTTCAGGGTGGGGGACTGTCTTGTTTTAACACATCGATTCATGTTCTAAGAACACTGTTTTTGTTCTTAGAGCATTTTTGGGTTCTAAGAACATTTCGTGGTAGGACTATAGGAATGCCGGGACGGTCGGTCCCTGCTCAACATACAGTCGAGCATCTGATTAAGAAAGCTCCTCTCCAAAAGCTGGTCCGGCGTTTCTTAACCAACCTGCTGGGACGCTGGCCCAGTTCTTTTTGAGCGCGTTCGCCCTTCCAGCTTCAACAACAGGAATTGGCCCCGGCTTGTCTTCCGAAATTTCTGGAGAGCTTGCCCAGGTTTCTCAAGCGATAGTGTTCTTGACCATATTTTCGGCCGTGCACCAAACACCGATCCTGGCCCAGATCACCCTGGGCCCAGGATCGGTGCTTATGCCTTCGTGCCCAAGGCAGGAGGGCGTATACGCCGATCCGGGGCCCAGGGTGCTCCTGGCCAGGGTCGGTGTGGGTGTGTGGTTCGTGCCTTCCCATCAGGAGGGCGCCTCCGCCAAGGGGAAGGCCGGGGGGCGCGGGCAGCCGCCAGCAGCCTGGGGGGCGTCAGCTCTGGCCGCGCTTCCCAGACCCCCTCGGGTAGAAAATCATGACGGGAGGTTTTTTACTATTTTCGGCCTTTGGAGGCCCTCACCGGCCCTCGGGACTGTCAAACAACGACTCATGATGAAAAACCGGTCCCGGGGAATGGGTCGAGACCTCTGAGGGTCCACGTGAATTAACAGGAAAAAAAACAAGACGTCGGGGGTCTGGGTCCCAGGCTTCCCACATGGGGTCCGCTCTGACCAAGGCGGAACGAATGAATGCAGAGTGACGCATATATCGAAGACAGAGCGAAAACGGAACATGGTGCTCAGGCCGAGCCCTGCTTCAGGGTGCCTTCTCTGAGCTCCCGGGAGGCCTCGTGGGGGCCTCCTGAGGCCCCCGGGGGGACGGTCGGGGGCGCCCAGGAGGGCAGTGTGGAGCTTGCACGTGTGGACCTCCGCGGTGGCTCGCGCCGCATCGCCGATGCATCGGGCCCCTGATGCTGCTGCTCGTCCTGGAGAGCCCTCGTTGCCGCGGCTAGATTCGCCTCGAGGTTCTGGTGAGGGCGCACCCCGGGAGAGGTCCGTGGATTACCGGCATCGGCATCGTTTCGTCCACTCGGAGCCCAAGAGACGGGGGTCAATGCAAACGGGGGTCAGCCAGGGCACCGGATCCTGCAGGATCCTGCGAAGATCCCCTCTGGCTGACCCGGGTTGGCGAGCCGCTCGTGGCCGCAGGGCGGCCGCGCGTATTGGCTGGCCCAGGTTTGCGAAGCCTTGCGTTGCAGTTTTTTTGTTTTCCTGCACTGCAGTCTTCTGGTTTCCTGCGGACCCTGTTTCTGATGGATCCCCGATCCCCCCGCGAGCCAGGCATGGTGGTCCACCCCGGGGCCCAGGATCGGTCTGATCGTGCGCCCCCCTGGCCAGCCAGGCCAGGGAGGCGCGAGCACTTCTCCCCATGGGCGGGGAGCACATCCATATCCATGGCCTCGCGGGCCGGGCCCCCGGGCCGCGGCCCCATGTGACATGCGACCTCCGAGACATGACTCTAATCGCGCCATCGCGCATGTGCAATGGCGCAACTTCATAAACTCAAAACCGCCTTTCTAAAACACGCAAAAACTGTTTCATAAAAAAACGAAAGCGGTTTGTAGAACGATTGTGAAACCGGAAACGTCGCGATTCGCTATCGTCGCCGTGGAGGCGTGCCGACGAAGTCCGAAAGCGTTCCGGACACAATGTAAAAGTCAGCTTGGTGGGTGTGGGGCTTGGCTGTTCTCTTCCAAATGTCAATGTATACGGGGCGTTTTTGCTCGCGGATGTCCCGCGCGGCACGTATCCGCGCGACGGCGCATCCACGGGGTCGCGCCCCGGAGTTCTGCCAGGCCGCGAGGGCGTGGCTGTAGACACGAAGTCTCCGCTCGTGGTAGACACCCTGTAGGGCCCCTATAGGGCCTCGCAGGGCAGGGTTCTGTGGGGCGGCCGGCTGGCGCCGCCCGAACGGCTGCCGTCTTCCAGCGCGCAGAAGCGCAGCAGGCGCTCCGCTGGTGCGAGGCGCTGCGCGGCGCCGCGCAGGGCGGCGCGGCGTGGCGCGGGTCGGCCGGCCGTGTGTGCCTCACCCTGGCAGAGCTGCGGGCGCTCCGCGCCGGCGGGGCCGAGGGCGCGGCCGGCGGCGGCGGCGGCCCCGCGGCCGCCGCGGCGGGGCCGGGCGACGAGCTCGCGGGGCGGCTAGCGCGCGAGCCGGAGGCGTTCCTGGCGGAGCTCTCGCTGGGCCTGCACCTGGCGGCGGCGGTGGCGGCGATGGCCGGCGCGGCGGGCGGCGGCGGCGGGGCGGCGGCGGCGGCCTTCGGGGAGCTGCCCGCCCGCTTCCAGGCGGAGGTGGTGGCCCCGGAGCTCGACAGGCCCATGGATGCCGTGAGGTCCGAGCTCATAGATCAGTACGTGGGCCTGCAGGGCAACGTCATCCGCGCCGCCAACGTCGCGCCCCTGATCACGGTGCTCAGATTCACCTGCTCGAGGTGTGGCGCTCCGGTGCATCTTCCTGCGAAGCAGGGGCGGCTGGAGTACCCCAGCGCCTGCCCGCAGAAGTGCCGCTTCGCGCGTTTCGCGGTAGACCGGGACGGCTGCCAGGCCGTGGACTGGCAGCGCATCCGTCTCCAGGAGGACCTCGCGAACTCAGCGGCGGAGGGCGCGGCCCGGCGGATCCCGCGCACGGTCGACTGCGACCTGCGGGAGAGTCTCGTGGGCTGCGTTGCCCCGGGGGACTCCGTGAAGCTCTACGGCATAGTGCGCTGCATGCCCACGAGCCCCACCATGGGCAAGGGGGGCGAGGGCAAGCAGGGCAAGGCGGGGGCGTTGTACGTGCTGTTTCTGGAGGTCAGGGCCGTGGTGCGCGCGGCGCGGTCGGCGGATGCGGCGGGGAGCGCCGAGGACGGTTTCACCCCGCTGCAGCTGGAGTTCGTCCGCGAGCTCCACTGCGAGCAGGAGCGCCTGCCGGTGCTGGTGGCCTCCTTCTGCCCGCACATCTACGGCCAGCCGCTCGCCAAGGCGGCGCTGCTGCTCTCGCTGCTCGGCGGGGTGCCCGTGCACGCGAGCGGCCCGGGCGGGCGGCTGCGGCGGCGCGGGGACCTGCACGCGCTGCTGCTGGGAGACCCCGGGCTGGGGAAGAGCGAGCTGCTGCGGGCCCTGGCGCGGCTGAGCCCGCGGGGGGTCTACGTGTGCGGCAACAGCTCCTCCGCCGCGGGCCTCACCGCCTCGGTGGTGCGGGACGCGTCGGGGGAGTTCGCCCTGGAGGCGGGCGCGCTGATCCTCGCGGACAGTGGGCTGTGCTGCATCGACGAGTTCGACAAGATGGGCGCCGACCAGCAGGCGCTGCTGGAGGCCATGGAGCTGCAGATGGTGTCCGTGGCCAAGGCTGGCATCGTCTGCTCGCTGCCCGCGCGCACGACGGTCGCCGCCGCGGCGAACCCCGCCAAGGGCAGCTGGGACACGAGCCTGACGCTGTCCGAGAACCTGAAGGGCGTGATGTCCGAGGCGCTGCTCAGCCGCTTCGACGTGGTGTTCCTCATGCGGGACGAGGAGACGCTGCACGATGACGAGGCCCTCTCGCGCCACATCGTGCGCAGGCGCATCGCGGGCCCCTCTGGCGTCGGCGCGGCCGGTGCGCCCGGGAGCTCGCCGGCGGCCGACTGGGCGAACGACGCCGCGTTCGAGCGCGGGGCGGAGAGGGCATCCCTGCACGGCCGCTGCGGCGCGGTCCCGCGGGACGCGCTGCTGCCCCAGGAGCTCCTGGCCACCTACATGCGCTACGCGCGGCGCTACGCGCACCCCGTGCTGGGCAGGGGCGCGCGAGCACTGGTCAAGGAGCACTACCTCGCGAGGCGCCGCCAGGACCACCCCGCCGCTGGGCAGCTGCCGGTGACTCCGAGGTGCAGGGACGGCCTCACCGACGACCCCCCGCAAGCCATTCCCTTCCGTGACGTCCCCCTCGCCTCACTCCAGCACGAACGTACGCGGCCGCAGGGAGGCCTGGAGGGCGAGGGAGACGTCACGGAAGGTGCTCGTCACGGAGGGTGCTCGGTTCGGCCGCGCCCGAGAGGTATTTGGAGGCCCTGGTGCGCCTGAGCCAGGCCCGCGCGCGCGCGGAGCTGCGTCGGGCGGTGCTCCGCAGCGACGTCGAGGACGTGATCGAGATCCTGAAAGCTGGGTCGGGCCTGGAGGAGCTGCTCCCGACGGCGCCCGTGCGCAAGGGCAAGTCTCGCCCGAACGCGATCGCGGAGCGCCTCCGCCAGCTCATGGAGCGGCAGCTGCGCGGCGGCGGCGCGCGGGAGTTCCGCGAGCGGGACCTGCGGCAGCACGCCCTGAGCACGGGGGCCTCGGAGCAGGACTTCGACAGGGCGCTGCAGCGGCTGAACGACGAGGGGGTGCTGCTCATCAAGGGGTCGGGCAGCTTCGAGTTCGTCGGCGCGCGCTGATGGGGCCCGCGCGCGCGGCGCCTCTCGCGCTCCGCCCCCTCGTCCTCCTCCCCCCTCCCGCTCACCCACACGAGGCAGCTGCACGCCACCATCGTGCGGTAGGTTCGTGTCGTGTCGACACGCGGCGACCCCGCCAGCGGCGTTCAACCTGGAACGCTGCGGGCGACCCTGGCTCGTTCGATGTGGAGCGATTTGGAGGCTTCGGAAGCGGCCGCTCGTTCGAGGGCGAACGATCCTCGCGGTGTCCGGAACCAACGCCGGGGTCGGCACGACGCGAACCTGCCGTACCCCTGCCGCTGACCTTCCCTCGTTTTCGCCTTGCGGGCCTCCTGGGAGGCCCGAAAGGCGCCGCTGCTGGACTCGCCTCGAAAGATTCGGGTCTGCTCAGGACGCGCCCCAGGATGAGGTCCGGGAAGTAGATTTTTAAGTCGGACGCGTCCCTCTACAGGAGAAACATTCAAACATTTTCTGTTTTAGACATATCGGCCAACAAAAACAAACGACACCACCCCACCTACGGCCCTCCATGTTGCGCTACGGCCCATCGGGGGCCGCAGCGTATACCACGCAACAGCCCACGCCGGATGTCCTGGCATACGCTGCGGCCCGTGGGGCCGTGGGTGGGGTGGCGTCGTCTGTTTTCTGGTCCAGGATCGTCTGGGGACGATGACCTGATTATTGGAGAGGCCTGACGGCCGGTGCTGGCGGGCGTCGTATCTGCCCCGGGCCCCCCCCCCCTGCCGGGAAGGGATCAAAGGGAAGGGGCTTCCCTTCGCCGACAGGGACGAGGGTCTGATTCTTTCGACACGACGCAAACCCTGCCGTGCATGCCCAGGGCCGCCCTCGGGCCCTCGTGGGGCGCCTCTGGGCGCCCCGGCCGGGCCAGGGGGGCGGTGCGCACCACGCATGGAGAGGCCCGAGGACGAGGACGAGGGAGGAGGAGGAGGAGGAGGAGGAGGAGGAGGAGGAGGAGGAGGAGGAGGAGGAGGAGGAGGAGGACGAGGGAGGAGGAGGAGGAGGAGGAGGAGAGAGGCGAGGAGGAGGAGTAGGAGGAGTAGGATGAGGATGGACTAGGGGAGGAGGAAGGAGGAGGAGGAGGAGAAGAGGGAGGAGGACGAGGAGGAGGAGGAGGAGAGGAGGATTTATTAGAGGAGGAGGAGGAGGGAGGAAGGACGAGTGGACGGCCCTTGGAGGCCAGGCAGCGGCGGCGGCGTCCGGCCGCCTCTGGCGGCGCCCGCCTCCGCTCTGCTGCTCTCCCCCCGCTCGTCACCACCTACCAAACCACCCCAACCCAACCCGAAGGCCCAAATCTGCCCTCCATTTCCAGTGCGCGGGGGGGGTCGGGGAACGTTGAGAAGACACATATGAAGCCCGTACCCCCCCCCGACCCGAAAGTCGGGTCTTCGGGTCGGGTTGGGGTGGTCTGGTAGGTAGTCAGCTCGTCTCTCCCTCCACCAGTAGCGTTTGACCGCTCCCTCGCCCCATCGCCCCATCCGCATCTCGAGCCCCACCTGCTCACCACCTCAGTTGGGGATGTGCCCCTCGAAGCTCGAAGAGCGCAGCCTGTATCCCCATCTCTAGGGGGGCAAATCGGCCAGTGGGGCCCAAGCCCACGCTGGTGGGGATGGGGATCGGTTAACCGATGCTCATGAGCGACGGAGGAGAACGGGGCCGTTTGCGCGGACGTTCGCGCGTGGGCTTCCCGAGGGAGGTCGCGCGTGGGCGCCCTCGTGCCTCCCCTGGGTGTGCCGCGCTGGCGGCCCAGCGCGAGCAGCAGCGCAGCCGCAGATCTGCCGTTGCAGAGGCATGCAACATCGCCAACAAGTCTCAGGGGCAACGATAGGGGGGGATAGGCGTAGGGGGGGATGCATCGACCCCCAGTCGCCCATGGATCGCCGATAAGGGGCCCGATAGCCCCAGCCTGCCCAGGAAGGTTCGGATTCACTCTCGGGGGCCTATCGCCGATCTGTCGGCGATGTATCGCCGATTCTAGGTCGATGCGTCCCTCCCTGTGCCAGTCCCCCCCTATCGTTGCCCCCCAAAAGCACAGCTAGAGCCCGCAACCGGCCCTCTGCGCTACTTTTCCAGCCGGGTCGATCCGGCGAGGTTCCCTGGGCCCCGAACTCGGCGAAACCGCCCGTTTTAAAACAAGCGCAGCGCCAGGATTATGATGTTCCAACCTATTTTAACCTTGGTCATCAAAACGAATTTCGAGTACCAGGAAGTGACCGAAACTTTAGGGTTCTCACGAGCCGGGCCCTGGGAGGCGATACTCGTTCGACACTGTTTCGACAATTGCCTGGGTGCTCGAAATTATTTCTGGGATATGGCCCTGAAGTACGATGGGAGCAACATAAGCTGGAGCCCGCAACCAGCCCTCTGCGCTATTTTTCCAGCCGGGTCGATCCAGCGAGGTTCCCCGGGCCCCGAACTGGGCGAGAAGCCGCCCATTGTACAACAAGCGCAGCGCCAGGATCTCGGGGGAGGTCGCCAATCACGGTCAGGAACTTGGGCTTAGCGTATCGCTCCGCCGGTTCTGGCCCAACACGCTTCGGCGCGACAGGCTCGCTGCCCACTTTTCAAGCAGTGGCGAAGCGTCCTGGTGTGCCCATAGGCCTGCCAAACAATGTTCCAAGAACCATTTGTGGTTTCCACGACATGTTCTTAGAACATGTCTGGCTGGGACTGTCTCGTTTAAACACATCGGGTTTATGCCCTAAGAACATTGTTTTCGTTCTTAGAACATTGTTGGGTTCTAAGAGCATGTCGTGGTAGGCCATAGGAATGCCGGGACGGTCGGTCCCTGCTCAAACGTTCCCATTCCCAAGCGTCGGCGTCCCGAGCTTTCCTATTGGTGTCCGGCCCCGCGGAGCGAAGTGGTGGCACGCTACCCCCGCTCGCCAGGCACGCCCTGTCGCCGGAGCCGCCGCCGCGGCGCGCTGTCCAGAAGTTCCTGACCGTGTGCCCTCTTGCGTGAGGCCCGTTTTCGTTTCGTCACTCTCGGCCACGCGCAGAAGTGGGTGCAGCTGGGGGCCCACGCCAAGAAGCACCCTGCTTGCCTCCGGGGTGCCCTGGGATTCCTGGGTTTCGATGGTTTTGCTGTGGAAAGCGCGACGCTTCCGCACCCAAACTCGATGGACGTCCTGGGGTCTCAGGGTTGGGTTTCTTGTGGTCGGGCCCCTACTGTACCCCCTTGTGCGCGCCGCCACGTTTCCTCACTCGCCCGTCCTCGGGGCAGCCCGCGTGCCCTCTCACGCGGCTCGGGGCGCAAACCCGCGAGAGGGCAGCGGCGCGACGGCGCACAAGAGATGGGGCGGCCATTGGCTTCACGGCCGTCGTGTGTGTGTGTGTGTGTGTGTGTGACGCGCCTGGCCCTGCTGTGAGCGGGCCCGGCTTCTGCCTCTCGCCCCCGCCGCCGCCGGGCGCCTCCTCCTCCTCCTCCTCCTCCTCCTCCTCCTCCTCCTCCTCCTCCTCCTCCTCCTCCTCCTCCGGGGGGGCGGTGGGGCGGGCTGCGAGCGGCGCCGAGGGAGCTCGCACCTCCAGACCCAGACCCCCTCGCGTTGTGAACAAATCACGACGGGAGGTCGTTCGCTCTTTTCGGCCTCTGGGGGCCCTGACGGGGCCCCATGACCGTCAAAAAACGACTCGGGGTGAAAAGCCGGTCCCGGCGAAGGGGTCGAGACCTCCCGGGGGTCGACGTTGCGAAAAGACACGACCGTCGGGGGTTTTGGGAACCTTGCCGTCTACTCTCCGCCACCTCTTCTCCTGGTCACCCAGGCCGGGTGTCCACCCAGCCGCGTGCGGCTTCCCCTCTCTCGGGGGCTGACAACCCAGAGGTCCAAAATTTCAGAAATTTTGAAACCGCGTTTTTTTCATTTTTTTTTTTTTTTTTTTTTTTTTTTTTTTTTTTTTTTTTTTTTTTTTTTGAAAATTTCAGTTTTCATGTTTATACTACTGTACAATGGTATTCCAACGATTCGTCTTCTTTAAAAGAGAGCAGGGAGGGAAGGAGGAGGAGGAGCCGAAGGATATATGAAGGTGAGACGAGCAGAAAAAGGGGAATGCGTCTCTCGTGCTACTCCCCCCAACACGGCAGCGTTTTCGCGTCGAGCTCTATGTATCGAACTCGACGCGAGAACGCCAGGAGGAAGGCGATTGAGATTCGAAAAGGAGGAAGGCGGAGGAGGAGGAGGAGGAGAAGGAGGAGGAGGAGGAAAAGGAGGAGGACACAGGAAGAGGATCGGGGGAGGAAGAGGAGGATAATGAGAAACAGAAGGAGAAGGAGGAGGAGAGGGACGAGTAGCACAGCCGCCGCAGCCGCTGGCCCCGCATGCAGAGATGCAGTCTTCTGGCCCCGCCGACCCCGACGCCGACCCCGACGCCAAAATGCACCCTGGCGCACTTCAGCCGAAGGTGCCCACCCCTCTCATGTTCCTCACTCATCCTATTCCTCCTCCTCATTCCCTCCTCCTCCTCCTCCTCCTCCTCTTCCTCCTTTTCCTCCTCATCGTCCTCCTCGATCGTCAACCTCCCATCCTGATCCTTCTCATCCTCCAGCTGCTCCACGACCTCCTCCTCCTCCTCCTCCTCCTCATCCTCTTCATCCTCATCCTCCTCGTCCTCCATTCTTTCAGCCTCCATCCTCATCTCCTTCTTCGGCTGGCTACCGCGCCCTCCCCGTGTATATGAAGCCGTTCCCGAAGGTGCCACCGCCAGCGAAAGAGGACCCCTGTATCCTTCGTGCTGGTTTCCCACATCGATCCTCATCAACCTCCTCCCCCCTCTCCACCTCCCCCCCCTCCACCTCCTCACCAATTAACCTCCTCCACCCCGTCGCTCCAATCATCCTCCTCTCAGCGTTTGTCCGCAGTGAGGACGCGGTCGAGACGCTGGCGGCTGCTGGTGAGGACCCTCTATGCAACATAACCCTACACACCCTCACGAGGAGGAGAACAAGGAGGAGAAGAGGGAGGAGGAGGAGGAGGAGGAGGAGGAGGAGG